GCACTTATGCCACCCGACGTGAGTTTAAGCCACCGGGTCCAGGACTCAAACCACAGTCGGCTACATGGGAGTTCAACAACACAACCATTACATTAACTGCTGGTCCTGACATGGTTGCTATCTTTTATTGAATTTTTTTGTTAAATGAGGATCTTATTATATAAAATAGAATAGCAAAGGCTAATATTCTCTTATCAAATAGTCAGTATGTTATGTCATGACAACATAAAATTTGAAATACTCTCCTGTAACAAAAAGATACACTGGAAGTTATGGTTCAGGAGCCAGTGAGTGGCCTGGTGGCTAGGGCGCTAGACACCCACACGACAGACTGCATTTCAAGTCCCAGACCTGGCAGCTTGCTCTCTCACTTTCCCTCTCTTTCTGGTAAGCACACATGCTCTACAACAACTTAAAATAGTAATAATAACAATAATAATAAATAAAAATAAATAATTATTTAGAAGTTATGGTTCAGTATATATCAATTTGTGACTACTTTAAGAAATGTAACTACTGCAAGTAACAAGAATCAAATGTATCTCTAGGGAGCATATTTTATTTGCAACATGAAAATCATTAAAATGTCTAACTTTAGACATGCATAACAATTAATAAGAGGAGACCAATTAAAAATGAAGTACATTAAATACAGTAAAGTCTAGAGCAGGGATGATAAATAGATTTCATCTAGCACACCAAGGCTAAAGAACAATGTGTTCTAAACAAGTTGCCTCTGAAACTATGTTTTGGCTCACAGAGAAAGAGTATTATAATTAATTAGTACTGTTGGTCAGAGATATAAGAAAGAATACTGTCATTAGTGTCATGTATTTGCCGTCCCAGTGCTAGTGCACTTCAAATAGCTCCATAAAAGGTACAAATTACAAAATTACTTACTGCTTCAACAGAATTACATTCTCGTCTTGTTTCTAAATAACGCAGTGCTCGTTTTTCTTCTTCTTTTAATTTAGCATCTGCCTGTCCAGAAGCAAGATAGCAATCATTTTAAGAGTATCAAGAGAATAGTTCAAACTATCAGGTAGACTAAGTTCTGACTTACATATTTCATATAATTCTGTACACCATTTTGTTGTAAATACGATGGTGCCTGTGTTCTATAAAATCTCTCTGTTGAATCCAAGTATGCCTTCTCAAAATTGTCCCTGTAAATTTGAAGCTTATCCTCAGGATTAGAACAAAGGTTAACTGAAAAATAGAAAATAAAAAATTTTACTCTAGTTATGATTTAAATCAGTATTGCAAGTACAACAAATTAAATTTTAAAATATTAAGTAGTCATTATGTGCAAAGTAACAAGGTTCAAGAGAACATAGCCACATAAACCAAAAAGTGCTCTACAAGAAATTTAAAAAGATAAGAGCACAAACAGTAAGGTAACAAATAAATAGTATAGATGGTATATGGACTATTTTATGCTCTCTCACTTTCCCTCTCTTTCTGGTAAGCACACATGCTCTACAACAACTTAAAATAGTAATAATAACAATAATAATAAATAAAAATAAATAATTATTTAGAAGTTATGGTTCAGTATATATCAATTTGTGACTACTTTAAGAAATGTAACTACTGCAAGTAACAAGAATCAAATGTATCTCTAGGGAGCATATTTTATTTGCAACATGAAAATCATTAAAATGTCTAACTTTAGACATGCATAACAATTAATAAGAGGAGACCAATTAAAAATGAAGTACATTAAATACAGTAAAGTCTAGAGCAGGGATGATAAATAGATTTCATCTAGCACACCAAGGCTAAAGAACAATGTGTTCTAAACAAGTTGCCTCTGAAACTATGTTTTGGCTCACAGAGAAAGAGTATTATAATTAATTAGTACTGTTGGTCAGAGATATAAGAAAGAATACTGTCATTAGTGTCATGTATTTGCCGTCCCAGTGCTAGTGCACTTCAAATAGCTCCATAAAAGGTACAAATTACAAAATTACTTACTGCTTCAACAGAATTACATTCTCGTCTTGTTTCTAAATAACGCAGTGCTCGTTTTTCTTCTTCTTTTAATTTAGCATCTGCCTGTCCAGAAGCAAGATAGCAATCATTTTAAGAGTATCAAGAGAATAGTTCAAACTATCAGGTAGACTAAGTTCTGACTTACATATTTCATATAATTCTGTACACCATTTTGTTGTAAATACGATGGTGCCTGTGTTCTATAAAATCTCTCTGTTGAATCCAAGTATGCCTTCTCAAAATTGTCCCTGTAAATTTGAAGCTTATCCTCAGGATTAGAACAAAGGTTAACTGAAAAATAGAAAATAAAAAATTTTACTCTAGTTATGATTTAAATCAGTATTGCAAGTACAACAAATTAAATTTTAAAATATTAAGTAGTCATTATGTGCAAAGTAACAAGGTTCAAGAGAACATAGCCACATAAACCAAAAAGTGCTCTACAAGAAATTTAAAAAGATAAGAGCACAAACAGTAAGGTAACAAATAAATAGTATAGATGGTATATGGACTATTTTATTTTTGAATTGGAGAGATAGACTTCTAAATGGATGATCAAGAAAATGTTCACGTAAAAGATAAGATTTAGAATCTTAAGGAACACACTAGGATTTGCACAGTGATTAGTAAAATAAGTAAATATCTAGAAGCAGAAAAGCACAAGCTACAATGACTAGTTGCTCTAACTACATTATAAGGCTAATTAAAGATAAGACAGAATGATGAATTAAGAACAGGTAGGAAGAGCCTCAAAATTGCAAACTAAGTAACCTGAATTTAGCACGATGTACCTGTACTAATAGGTAAGTGGGAAACACGCTGACAAGATAGTGCTTAAATCTTAACCTTGTGAATAGCGTATGGGTTAAATGACAACAGTAACACTATAAGAAAACTCAGGGGAAGAATGGTGGCATAGCAGTAAAACACAAAGCTCTGCAAGGCTGATCTACATGGGAAGGTTCTGAGTCATGCCTGAAGACCTCCCTGAGTGCACCAAGAACATGTGTGCCCATAACCTGGGGCTGGCTGATGCTAGGATGGATAGCAAAATTGGGACCCGGTTACGAGTGATGCCTGACTCTTTGGCTCATGGAAGAAATAAAAAAAAGTAATTAAAAAAAAAAAGATGACTCTTAAAAGTCTGTATGTACAACTACAGAAATCTAAAGTGGTGGCAGTTGAAATAAATTTCAGGGACTTTTGCTAATAAAAATATGAAGACTGGGCCGGCTGGTGACATGGTTGTTAAGAAGGCTGGATCCAACATAGCCGACTTCACAAATCAAGTCCCGGATTTGTGGCTTGAAAAACTTATCGGGCATGTATGCGAGCACACTCAAAATTTTGACAGGAGAACAGATTTCAAGTTTTTACAAAAATAAGCTTATACTTTAAATCCATCTTTCCATAAACTTCTTGAAGTTCTCTCATAGTTTTAAATTTATGGTTCTGTAATTTATGTCACCAAATATATTTGCTAGCCAAAAAGTTAATGATATGGAAAAAATATTAACCACATGAATATACATTTTTCTAAGTTTCTTTAAAGTAGAATTAATACTATTTGTGTACTCTTATAAAAAGCATCTGAGGGGGCAGCAGATGGCGTAGCAGTTACATCGCTGGACTCCCACATGGCCAAACATGATTTGAGTCCCGGTCCCAATGACTTGAAACTCCTGTCAGGTGCGTGTGCACGCATGCCCAAGATCCTGAGAGGAGAATGGAGGAGGGATTGCAATTTGACCCTGATTTCTCACTTTTCCTCTCACTTTCTCTCTGGTGAGCACAGCACAGAGAGAAAGTGAGAGGGCAAAAACTTCTAAAAAATACAAAAAATAAAATAAAAAGCATCTGACACAAAAAGTAAATGACTTTATATACTAAACATACATTTGATAAAAGAACTATTCTCTAATTGTCCTAGAATTTCCATGAAAAGGAAATCGTGTCCAGTACATACCATAAGATTCTCGTACTCCAATCACCAACTGAGAATCAAAAGCTTCTCCTAATCTTTCAGCATGTACCAGTTTCATTGCACTATCTTGGAGCCTGTTTTTTATATTTGAAAAGATTGACTCATTCCATGTATCAAGCATAAGCTAAGAAAACAAGGAAAAAATATGGCATCATTTTCAATGATTAGCATACCAAGTATCACATACACACACAAAATTTTTTTACTATAAACACTAAAAAATTTTAGGCCTCCATTCACTTGAAATAAAACTTTTAGGCCTCCATTCACTTGAATATTTCAGGGAAGCAGCATATTTAGGATAATGGTAAAAAATGTAAAGAACGAGTGCTTCAGAATCAGACATAATATGGTCTGAATTTTCGTTTTGTTACTCATTTACCTGCTGTCCTATGTGTAAAATAGTTAAAATACTATCACAGTACAATTTTCAAGAGCTCGTTGCTTCCCCTATGGTTCCAAGGTTGAATTTCAGAAATGCTAGTGTGTTTGGAATACTCATATACACATTTGTATGGATACATAAAAACATGCAGAAAGGACCAACCAAAAATCTGACAGAGGACCTTAAAACAAGAATACACTGCCCCAGCTGCGGTGGCACAGGCAGCAGAGTGACTGTGATCCTGGAGCTGGAAGGGTAGAGGATCACAGCAAGATAAGACCCTTTTAGGTCACTTCTTCCCTCCTTCTCTCTCTTTCTCAAAAAATAAATAAAACTTTAAATGCATTTACACAAGGGGCCAGCAGGTGGTATGGTGGTTAAGGCATCCACATGGCCAACTGTGGTTCAAGTCCTGGACCTGACAGCTTGCTTTCTCTCTCTCTCTTTCTCTGTCTCTGTAATGCATGTACCCTACAGCAAATTTAAAAATAATAATAATAAATATGATGATGATAATAATAAAGTTAAATAAATCATTCTTTTTTATTTTTATAAAAAAGTATGTACACAAATCTAATTTACAGATATTCCATTCAAATGACAGAAATGGGGGACCAGCAGGTAGCATGGTGGTTAAGGCTCTGGATTTCCACATGGCCGACTACCACGAGTCCTGGACCTGGCGGCTTGAAAATCACACCAAGTTGTATATGTATATGTCCAAAACCCCAAGAGGAGAATGGAGGAGAAAGGATTACAGTGAGATCATTCCCTCTGGGGATAGATTTCTCACTTTCCCTCTTTCTCTCTCTGGTGAGCCCATGCCCTTTATGGCAAATACCTTAAAATAAAAAAGAAAAAAGAAAAGGAACAATAGAGATGGTACATACACCTTGGGGAATACATTAATGCTCCATGAAACACTGTCAGCTGTTAAAGATAAATTAATAACAGCAGCAAAAGCAGCAATAACAGTAACAACAGTTTCATAGCATTCGCTATGTACTTGTGCTGCTCTCCACGGTTTCTACATATAACTTACTTAATCCTCAGAATCTTGATATAGGTACTATTAATACCTTCCCTTTAGATAGGTGGAGCCTCCAGCACAGAGAGCAAAGTTAACTGTCCCATGTTCGCGCAACACAGCTCATGAGTGGCACACTGGGATCTAAATCTAAATTTGAGCTGTCCTTCCAGAATCAACGCTCTCTCAACCATTAAGTGACACTGCTTCCCATAACCAAAAGAGAATGGTAAAATTCAAGGAAGTAACAGAAAAACAAAGGAAGACAAGATTATAGGACTGTAAATTAAACATCATCTAGGAATGTGGTCCACCTCTCCCCTTTATTTTGGTACAAATTTCTCAAATCACATTTATTTCTACCATTAAGGAATGACAGGTTATCTATTGTACATTTATAGATCCCTGTCACTATCAGAGCAATTTTTTTTTTTTAAAGATTTTTTACTATAGAGCATGTGTGCTCACTGGAGAGAGAGAGAAAGACAAAAGGACAGAAAGTGAGAAATCACCCCCAGGGGAGATGGCCACACTGCAATTCCTTCTCCTCCATTCTCCTCTCAGAATTTTCAACATGCACATACACGTGCATGGCTTGAGTTTTAAGCTGCCAGGTCCAGGGCTCGAACCACAGTAGACTACATAAGAGTCCAGCAATGTAACCATCATGCCATCTGCTGGTCTCAACATCAGAGTAAATTTTAAAGTTGGGATAGGCAGCAATGCCCAGGTCACCATTATTTGAATGCTTGAGTTTATTACTATAACCATCACAGCAAATATTAAGTTGTTTAAAGTTTAAGTGCATTTAAAAAAAATAAATCTATAGTTCCATTCAATTCTCACATGTAGGAAGACACATGGTAAATGAAAAAGAGAGTTTAAAGACTACTTAAGAGCTGAAAGGGAAACTTGAAACCCTTCACTTTCAGAACTCAGTTCTTTCCATTAAATAACTGGCTACTAGGGACAAAGTTTTTAATTAAAAACTATTCAAAATACAAAAATCAGTATAGCAAATATTGAATTCATAATAACCAGAGTCAAGTAGTAGAAAGATTATAAAATGACAGTTTACCCATGTTTAACACAAAGTTATCAGAAGGTAACGAAATAGAAGAGATTTTTCAAAGAGAAAGAGGGAATTTAAGTTATAGTAATATAAAAGTACAAAGAAAGCACAGAGAAATAAAATACAGCAGATGAAAAGAAAAGGAGAAAGTAAAAAGGAAAAGCAAAGCAGGTAACGTTTGAAGACACAGATCTACAGTTTAAAGTCATCTAAAAAGATATAAGAATTGAAGCTAAAGATGGATAGAAGAAAAAATATTACTTAGAGAACCCAGTAAAAGACAAAAAGAAACTTACATCTGAACTAGAAAAACCCATATAAAGTCTAAATTAATATCAAATGCCTTCAAATTACCCTCTTCCTGAAGACTATTAGGGTAACAATGAGAAAAAATTGATTCACCTTTCGAACAATACTGTCTTCCATATTAGATTTTTTATTGCTGCCCTGTTTACCCATTAAAGTAATCTCTAGTTGACAGAAAGGTTTTGGTAAGATATCACATTGTGTAAAGAATTTTCGCCATTCAACAATATATGCTTTTAGCAATGCTGTATCATCCTGATGGCTCAGTACACGCTGAAAAAAAAAAAAAGAGTATCAATTTGTAATAAATGTAGGCACTTTCCAGAATAAGAACAAAATAAATCTATGCCATAACTTTAAGATGTTTTGTTGATTGTACAAACTATATTAAGAGAAATTAAAATATATTAAAATATGTGTTCCCAAAAAAGGCATACATGAATGTTCATAGCAGTATTACTTGAAATAGAAAAAAGTAGATAAAATGCCCATCAGCTAATAAATGAATAAACATGAGGTATAAAACACAATGGAGCATTATTCAGCCATAAAAAGGAATTCTGATACTGATACAATATAAACAAATCTTAAAAACATTACATCAATAAAAGAAACCAGTCACAAAAAGCCAAAATTGTATGATTTCGTTTATAGGAAATGTCAAGAAAAAACAAGTACAAAAACCAACAGCTAACTGCTGCTGCATTAATAAGCTTAGAAGAAATCAGTTGACACCAGGCCAAACTGTTTTCTGATGCAAGGGGAAACTGTATCTACTTAATTCTAGGGAAATGATTTTCATTACATTGTGATAATGAAACATTTACTATTCTAAATAAAGTTTGAAAATAAGATTTATTTCATATAAAACTATAATTTTAAAAAATTATGTATCAAGGTATCATCAGACAAAATAGCTTCCTAAATAATATGCAATATGACATAAAATTTTTCAGCTATCACTATAGTGGCTATCAGCAGAATTAAATATATGTCAACCATATATTTAATTTCAGTATATTTCTGTAAGTCATACACTGAAAAAAATTCATTTTTAATATTCAACTATTTAAACAGCTATGATTATTTAACAAAATTTTTAACAGATAACTTTTACTAATGTGTAATACATTGATATGAAAATTCAACTAAGAATAAGAAATTTTAGTTCTCTTGTTTCCAGGCTTCATTTTATAGAAAGGAAAGTAATCTCATGTTCTTTGGCACCTCCTGAAAATGCTAAGCGAGTCATTTATTTGTCAGATGCCACAGTTGATTCAAAATCATATACTACCTTTGTGGTAGTTCTTCCTAAAAGACAAACAAAACAAAACTAACTCTTGTAAAACTGACCTATTGCCTAAACAAGCTGTCTTTATTTCAATAATATAAAATATTTATATACAATGTCAACATAAGATTGCTGAATTTCAGCTCAGCAGCAGGAAACCACAGACAGCTTAAGGATTTTACAAATGGAGAAAATTACTATCAATCTGAGAAGTAGTGTTAATAATAACAGAAAAGAGTAGATTTATGTGAACTCACATGTGGCCAAAATTATGGCAGTGGAGATGCCTAAAAATCATAAAAAACAGATTCTTTATATCACCTTTTAACTAAGGTTTATAATGAACTCTCTTGATAATTACTGTGGGATGAAAAAAATTCAACAAATGACAGTCATTTTATAAAAAATTTATCTTACAAATGTGTCCAAACCACCAATGTGATCATTTAAAATTACTTCAGGAAGTCCTACCTTTAAAGGGATAAAATATTATATTGAGCAGTTTTAAAACAAATTTAAAATAAAGATGCAGAACTTACTGCCTGTGCTTGCTTAATAAACTCAAGAATATCTTCTTTTAAAGCCTGATGAATCTTTGCAGGGCCTTTATCATCCCAGAGACAGACTGCATGCACATCCCTATAAAACAAAAAGCAGGCAGAACAGTAGTAAAATGGAACAAGAACAGATAACACTCATCATAGTTCCATATTAGTCCAGTTTCCATCGACTATCCTAGGACAAGCTAATAGTGCCTGAATCCATTCACATGATCCAAGCACTCTTTGTAAAGTTGCCTCACACATACACTGTCATTGTTTTCTTCCTTGTTTCTCTATTTACTGTATAAAACTTAATTATAAATGTCTATCTCTCAATAGCACCCAAATTAACTACTAATATTTTCTTGTGCAAAAAAACAGGATAAACCCTTTTAATTTTTCAACCTAATAGTTGTAAACTATTCTCTTTCTTTTAATAGTCATTTAAGTCCAATTAAAGCTAATATACCTTCCCCATATATTCATCACCCATTTATACATCAGTTAGAACTGTCTCCTATATTTAAACAAAACAAAACCTCTCATAAGCTGGTATATAAAACTCTGCATTTGATAATAAAGCTATTATTAAAATACAACATATTTTACTAAAAGTTGGTTTATGGACCAGTCAGTGGCATAGTGGCTAAGGCAGCTGGATCCCATATGAACAAGTGCACAGTTCGAGTCCCAGACTTGGCAGTTTAAGAAACATGCCAGGCATGTGCACATGCATGCTCAGAATCCTGAAAAGAGGAAGAAATGATGGAGAAGGGATTGTGGCATGACCAGCCCCCTTGGGGGGGGTGCTTTCTCCCTTTTCTTCTCTCTTTGTCTCTCTCTGATAAGTGCATGTGCCCTAGGGGGAGGGAGAGAAGTTTGTTCCTTATAGAAATATATTTAAATACTACTACAACATGTTCAGAAATTTCTTAACCAAGTTGTGGCACAAGAAACTTAGGACAGAAGGATAAGGTTTTACATTGAGGATTCATTCATTCCAAGAATGTTCCCCAGTGACTCATTCAATACATAAATGAAATCCCTGCTATAGAAAATGTCAAAGAAATCCAAATAAAACATCTCCAGAATTGTAACATGTCAACAACCAAACAGTTTTGTTTTATATTCCAATTTTCGGAGACATCTTCATAACCCAAAGCTTTGTCTGCACATTAACTGCTTTTGTCACTTGGTAGATTCAGCTTAATCATGGTATCTGGCCCGGTGCCTAGGATGCAGTAAGCTCAGATATTTGTTAAACCATAAGGTAATAAGCAACATCTGATTTCTTGCTAGGTGCCAGTTAGTATTCTAAGCTCTTTCAACTCATTTAATCTTCATAGCAACTCGAAAGTAGTATTATTTTTATTCCTGTTTGACAGATAGGGAATTTAAGGCAAAGAAATGCTAAGAGGTAAAGATTACACAGCTAGTACATCATAGAGGCAGTCAATAAGGCTCTCAAGGATACACTAACCCATTTCTCCACATTTACTCTTGTACTTCTCAATCAGTACAAGGGATCTTTATAAGACTCAAATCACATCATATCACACATACTTAAAATCCTCTAATGGTTTTCCCATTGCTCTTTGAGTAAAGAATATTAACTGATGCCTGCATATCTCTGCAGTCTTACCCAAATGATTAATGGGATCTAGAGTCGTAAAGAACAAATGCATACAGAACTGATTATAATTCAAGATGTTTACAACTGCAATGTGTACAAACGTAAGACAGTTTGAAAAACCAAGGGAAAGGTGGAAATAAGAGGTAGAGAAGGAAAAAGAAGTCTTTCTGTGGGACCAGCAGTTAGCGTAATGGCTATGTCGCTGAACTCCCAGGTAGTTGACCACATTTCAAGTCCCGGACCCAGTGGCTTAAACTCACGCTGGGCGCGTGTGCGTGCGTGACCAAGATTCTGAGAGGAGAATGGAGAAGGGATTGTGGTGTGGCCATCCCCCGGGGGGGTGATTTCTCACTTTCTCTCTGTCTCTCTCTGTCTTTCTGGCGAGCGCATGCGCCCTATAGCAAAAACCTCTCAATTTCACAAAAAAAAAAAAAAAAAAAAAGAAAAGAAAAGAAAAAAAAAGAAGTCTTCCTGGAAGAGTTGACTCCTGAGCTTAATCTCAAAAAATAGGCATTTGCAAGGCAAAGGTACAAGAGAGCGGCGAGGAGGCCATCTCATGAAAGACATGAAGATAGCTTCCAGATGTTTGGTTTGAGTAACAGATTTTTATCTATGAATTTGGAGTACTTACAAATCCTATGATTTGTAAGAGAATTATTCAGAAGGTAATTGGCTACATGGATCTGAAGTCCAACACAGGAGAATAATCTGAACTGCTTATACAGACATGAGAACTCAGGCAAAAGAATAAGAAGAAAGGGGAAACTCTAGAAGAAGATATAAACATTTATGGGGCACACCAAGATCAATCAGTTAAGACAACTGTGATAAGGAAAAAGAGAAACAAGAATCAGAAGAAGTTGGTGTAATAAAAATCAACTTAATAACAAAAGAATTATCTTTTAAAGATTATTTATAAAAGGGCTACATGGAGATAGACTGGTAACCAAGGCTCTATGAGGCTGATCCATATAGAAAGGTTCTGGGTTCGCATCCTGCAATCTCCATGAGTACAAGAAGCAAACATGTGTGCCCATGATTGGGACTGGCAGAAGCTAAGGTTGGATCATGGTGTCAAGACACTGCTTGGAGTGCTATCTCACTCACTTACAGAAAAAAATAAATAGACTTTTTAAAAATATTTATAGTAAAGATAAGTTTTCTTAAAAATAAGGTTTCACAGGGCCAGCAAATGGCATAGTAGTACAGCACTGAACCTGTACGTGGCCGATTGCAGTTTGAGTCCTGGACATGATAGCTTGAAACTCATGCCCAAGACATGTGTGCATGCCCAAAATCCCAGGAGGGGAATGGAAGAGAAGGGATTGTGGCATGGCCATCCCCTCAGGGGGGTGATTTCTCACTTTCTCTCTCACTGTCTCTGTCAGGCAAGTGCACATGCCTTAAGGGGAAAACTTCTAAAAGTAAAAAATAAGGTCTCACAGGACCAGCAGTTAGCATAATGGCTATGTCGCTGGATTCCCATGTAGTGGACTGGTTTGAGTCCCGACCTGGTGGCTGAAACTCACGCTGGGCACGTGTGTGTGCGTGCCCAAGATCCTGAGAGGAGAATGGAGGAGAAGGGACTGCGGTGTGGCCATCCCCCCTGGGAAGTGATTTCTCGCTTTCTGTCTCTCTGTCTCTGTCTTTCTGGCGAGTGCACGCACCCTACAGCGAAAACCTCTCAAAAAAAAAAAAAGAAAAGTCTCACAAGTTGAAAATAATTTATTATAGGGACCAGCAGTTAGCATAATAGCTATGTCCTGGACTCCCACGCAGTTGACCGCGGTTCGCGTCCCAGACCCGGTGGCTTAAACTCACGCTGGGTGCGTGTGCGTGCGTGCCCAAGATCCTGAGAGGAGAATGGAGGAGAAGGGATTGCGGTGTGGCCATCCCCTCTGGGGGGTGATTTCTCGCTTTCTGTCTCTCTGTCTCTCTCTGTCTGTCTGGTGAGCGCACGCGCCCTATAGCAAAAACCTCTCCAAAAAAAGAAAAAAAGAAAATAATAATAACTTATTATATAATTACGGCTTCAATTTCACAGACCAGAGTCAAACTTAATAACATGGAGCAAGAGTATCAGTTCTCAACTGAGGGAGATATTATTCTCCCAGAAAAAATACTTGGAAATATGTGAACATCTTTTTTTTATTTTTCAATAAATGGGAAATGGAAAGAAGGGCACAACACATGGAATAATCTCTTATGTCACCCAAAATGCCAACACTGCTCCAACTGAAAATCAAAAATAGTGGGCCAGTCTCACAGCCTAGTGGCTAAGTGAGCTGGATCCCACACAGTTGACCACAGTTCCAATTCTGGCCCAGCACCTTGAGAACCATACCAGGCACATTCATAGTCAGGCCCCAAATCCCAAATGCAGAAAAGGAGGAGAAGGGACTATGACATGACTGTGCCCCAGCAAGAGGTGCTTGCTCCTTCTTCTGCTCCATCTGTGAGCCAGAGCACACATCCTCTAACAATTAAAAAAAAAAAGAAAAAAAAAGGGATACAGACTATAAGACAAGGAAGAACAAATCTCAAATTGTCAATATTAGCTTAATAATAATATCTTATTTTAATGCCTCAAATTTAGAAAGATATAACCTAAATGTTAATGGTTAATATGTTCAATATATGGCTAAAATTTGGAAAAGTATTCATTATTGTAGATCTTACAATTTTGGTGATGCTAAAATGTCCACACTGGAGACATACAGGAAGAAGACAACAAGACATACAGAAATCCTTTCATATAAAATAACAATATATTGAGCTGCTTTAGGCACTCCAAGGAGATCAAATCAGGCTGGGCATGTATGCTTGTGTGCTGTGGTCAGCCATGTGGGTGTCTCCTTAACCATTATGCCATCTGCTGTCCCTAAGGTCCACAGTACTTAAGAAATCAGAGTATTATATCACAAAGATAAAAAATGAACACAGCTTAATGCACTTATGTTATGCAGTCACATACCAACAATTCATTGAGATACTTTCTACAAGTATGCAGAAAACAGTTATTACAGCAGGCTTTAGCTTGCTATCCTTCAAAAGATCTATTTACAAGGTTATCTAACATTTGGAAAGTTGGATTTGGGGAGGGTTCCCACTATTCCTTGATAAAACTGGCTCACTATGCCTAAACTGTTTATACAAATAGCGTGATTTATACCAAACACTTACTTTCCTTATGGGAATCTGGAGTTTTAGTCTATGCCTGGCAGAGGCTGCCTACTTGACTAGCCCCCCAAAAAACTTCATGTATTCAATCTACCATAAGCTTCTCAGGCAGAAATTTTATGTGTTGTCACAATTAGTTGCTGGAGGAATTAAGCCTGTCCTGTGTGACTCCTCTGGAAGAGGATATTCAGGGAGTTTGTACCTCATTTCCCCTGGACTTTGCCCCATGTAGTTTTTCCATTTCTTAGTTCTTTTTTAAAAGTTTATGTATTTACTGAAGAGAGAGAAGTGTACATGTTCCCCCAATAGGGTTTCACACCAAGATTTCCCTGTAGCCTCAGAGAGCGGAGCACGTGTCCCCAGCATGTACAAGGAGGCCTAGGGACTCAAACCCAGGGCCTACCCATGCAGGTCCAGCATCACAGAGTGGCATGAGTGTCACTCTACTACTGGATTTGATGATTTTGCTCTATATCCTCCATTATAATCAATCATAACTATAAATACATCTAGAGTTTTACGGGTCTTCCTAATAATTACTGAACTAAGGGTTATCTTGGAACTGCTGACACAGTTGGTGTCAGAGCGAGATTTATGAGGCAGGATGACATGGTAAGATGACAAATATTTGCTGCTTAGATGGTTATAAAATCATCTATGGTATAAAACAGCAGCTGAGGTTCTCTCTGTTCTGAGAGGTAAAAATCAGGAGAATTTGAAAATGATAGATCTAATCCCAAGAGAGCTGTCTGAATCACTTGGCTGCTTCTAGCCATGCTGTCTATTAGGAGGGGTAATGTCCTTGGCTTTTTTCCTTTTTTCCACATTCAGGTGGGAAAAGAAAAGGCCCAAAATTTCCAGAGGTGGGTCAGTTCTGTAATGCAGTGATTGGGTGCTGTACAGAGAAGTGGGGTCAACATGGCCGTGATCCTAGGTGACCAACCAGAGTTCAAGTCCCAGCCCCTTTGGCTTGAACACCATGTTGGATGCATGCACACATGCCCAGGATCCTGATAGGCTGGAAATTGGAGGAAAAGGGACTGCGCACAGCCAGGCCCCAGTGGGGGATGCTTATTCTTTCTTTCTGTCATTCTCTATCATGCATATGCCCTCTGGCATAAAATTTTAAAAAACGAAGTTCACAAATGTGAGTTCTAGGTAGACCAAAAATATTAAAAGTTTGTGTTGCTCTCTCTGCCAAGCATGAGAAAATAATAGTTAAATCAGGGCTAGGGCAAAGCGTTAGATAAAGTAGGGTGAAGAAGGAGGGGAAGGAAGCACTCCAGCTGTTTTTACAGCTTCATTGCTGCTATTGCAGCAGTGCCTCCCCACACATCATCCAGCAATACTGGGTCATAGGAAAAGTCATAACAGATTTTTTCTATGTTTTTCTATGCAAAAATACATCATGACTTTTCCAGCAATCCAATATAATGTTAAGCTTAACAAATGCTAGATTAATTGTTAGAGGTTTGATTACATTTACAGTGAGAAAAATTAAAGTATACAGAGGTGTTAAAAGATGATTTTGTATTTTGCTTAGACTTTAAGCTCAACAAGATAAAAAGGGCTTAAAACAGTCTTGCTTGTCACCTGGACTGGGAACATGTCTGGGAGGCCTGAAGCATCTTAGTTTTGCTGCTGCCAAAGAAAAGCTTATGGTTCTTCTGGAATCTTAAATTCACATCTCTTAACTGCCCTACATCTGATTCTAGGCTGAAACCTGATACTATCTGTTATTGGGCTAATTCAGCCCCACACAAGCAATGCTGGTATAGGTCAACATATGGGATATTGTCCGCTAACAGACATCCATCAGTGGAATATAAACCATGAGAATATCATGGATTCCAATTGGACCATCCCAACTAGTTACAGATACTCACAGAAAAGAGCTTACTCTGCTGGGAGCTTCCAAAATCGAGCTGCTAAATGGCACTGTGTATCTAATACGGAGACTGACCTGGAGACTAACCAGGATTCTTAACTTGTGGTTCCTGCCAAAAGCTACTAAGTGAGAGAAGGCACATCAAAAAAAACGTAGCCCCTTCCCCCACTCCTTATAGATGGGACTTCAAAAAAAAAAAAAAAATTTTGCTATAGAGCATATACATTCACCGGAAAAAAAAAAAAAGAGAGAGAGGGAGAAAGGGAAAGTGAGAAATCACCCCCTAGGGAGGCTGGCCACACTACAGTTCCTTCTCCTCCAATCTCCTCTTGGGATTTTGGGCACATATACATGCCTGGTGTGTTTATCAAGCCACCAGGTCGGGGACTTGAACCGCATAGCTAGCCAAGTTGGGATCAAGCTACTTCAACTACTACGATCTACACTGGTCTCTAGATTGGACTCTTGTCCCCTCTTGATATGTCTCACTGCTACTGACCTGAATTCAACTATCCAGATTAGTTTCAGTTTGTAACAGCAGATTAAAAACCTGACTCCATTATCCCTCACCTTCTGCTCATTTTCCTGGTACACAAAACCTAGTAGGGCAATCTGGTTACTACATGCACCTATCACCAGAAAGGAATTCTTTTGCTACTCACTGGATAAATGATCAGGAGAAAAGGTGTGTGAGATAATATAAATTCATTTAGAGAAGTTTTAGAAATTCAGGATTTTGTCCTAACCAATTTCTAAACTTGATATATCTTTCTAATTAAGTTATGTAAACATGTTCTTTGATCAAAAAATGCTTTTGTCTCCGTTGAGGGACAAAATGATTAGGAAAAAAGGAAAAGTTTTTGTTACAGGATGGGATATACTGATTTTGTGAGAGAGGAAACAGAACCCAGCACCTGGAGAAGCAAAGGCACGGAGAAGAATATTAATAAAGAGTTTCGCTTTTCAGAAAGAATCCTGAAAGCTGGAAACAGCAGTTAGCGTAATGGCTATGTCACTGGACTTCCACGTAGTCGACCACAGTTCGCGTCCCAGACCCGATGGCTTAGAACTCACACCGGGCGCGTGTGCGTGCGTGCCCAAGAGCCCGAGAGAATAGAGGAGAAGGGATTGCGGCGTGACCATCCCTGCTAGGGGGTGATTTCTCGCTTTCTGTCTCTATGTCTCTGTCTGTCTGGCAAGCACACACGCCCTATAATGGAAAAAAACTCTCAAAAAAAAAAAAAAAAGAAAGAAAGAGTCCTGAAAGCTGTCCCCTCTTCTAAAAGAAAACTCCCAATGCTGTCTTTCCAAGATGCTGTGAATGTTATCAATTCAGACTTACTGCCAAGTTTACAATCATACCGAACACTACGAAACAGTAGGGAACAGCCCCAGCTTTCACATTTTCCACGTAGAACATCTCCAGATGTCATCCATGCTAGAGAGGCAAATGAATGGTGAGACGCAAAATGGGATGGAGCTACCTGCCTTCAGAAAGTCCATCTGAAACCAAGTTCTAACTAAACTGAATGGATCAGAAACCCTAAGGTGAAAGGCTCTGTGCTTTACTAATATGCATCACCTAATGTATATCTCTGCTCGGGGTACTCTAACAATTTTAAAGTCTTTGTCTTCAGGTGTACCACATGTGTCCTCTAGGGTTGTTCGAGAGGAGGTCTTCACAAAGTTAATGGAAAATGAATAGTACGAAAATGTTATGCATGAATTTCCTATTTTTTTACACCAAAATAAATTCATATTTTAATTCTATTTTCCCACAAAGTTGTTGAAGTCCTTTCATATTTGTGGATGTGCCCTGATGACCATGACACTGCCTCTACACTGGAAGACTTTTAGATTTGCTTCAACTTACACGTCTAAGTCGTGCTGTGCCTGAACTGATGCCTCAGGCAATGTTTTAAGGGGGAAAAAAAAGGCTCATACAGAAACTAAGGGAGAAAGCCACTTGGTTTTCCAGTTAAGCCTCATGGTTAATGGGACTTGTTTTAACTGGTTATTCCAGGACCCTGAAATGATGTAACTGAAATCAATAGGTTTGCTGCTATATGGGGTCCTGACGATAATTTTGCTGTAGACATGCTGGCTAAAAATCAAGAGTTAACATAGCAGACCTGAGACTACATGTGTTATGTGGGCCAGCAGGAGGACATGGAAGTTAAGGCACTAGATCCCACATGCAGGCGTGTGTGTGTGTGTGTGTGTGTGTGTGTGTGTGTGCGCATGCCCAAAATCCTGAGACAAAAATGGAGAAGAGACTATGGTGTGGCAATCCCCCTGGGGGTATTTCTTTTTTTTTTTCTTTTTTTGCTATAGGGCATGTGCGCTCGCCAGACAGAGAGAGAGAGACAGAGAGGCAGAAAGCGAGAAATCACCCCCCAGGGGGGATGGCCACACCGCAATCCCTTCTCCATTCTCCTCTCGGGATCTTGGGCATGCACGCACACGCGCCCAGCGTGAGTTTTAAGCCACCGGTTCTGGGACGCGAACCGCAGTCGACTATGTGGGAGCCCAGCAACATAGCCATTACACTAACTGGTGGTCCCTGCCCTGGGGGTGTTTCTCACTGTCCCTCTCTATCTCTGTCTCTCTCTGGCAAGGACATGTGCCCTATAGCAAAAACGAAAAGAGAAAGGAAGGAAAGGGAAGGGAAAGAAATAGAAGTGAAACCCGCTCGTTAAGATTAGCCTTTGGCTCGTATCAGAAAACCTTAATGAACGGTTTTCTAAATGTATAAAAAATTTCCATGAAGTGATCAGAGTGGCTCACTGTATCTAAACTATTTATACAAACAATATGGTTTACACTAAACATCTGTTCTCTTTAAGGAAGTCTGAAATTTTGGCACATGCCCAACAGAGACTGCCTACATGACCACCTCTACAGAAACTGTATGCACTGAGTCTCTAACAAGCTTCCCTGGTAGGTGATATATCACACACGCTGTTAATCTTGCTGTTGGAGAATCTGTGGCCTGTGTAATTCCCCTGAAAACTCTTGGAAGTGTGTGCTTATTCTTCCCTAGACTTCATTCCATGTACCTTCTCCCTTTGAAAATTTTGTACTGTATCCTTTCACTATAATAAATCGTAGCTGTAAATATGACCTTATGTTCATTCCTAAGAGCCCCCTAGCAAATCACCGAACCAGGGGAGATGCTGGGAACCTTCAACACAACTAGTAACAATTCTGAACAGGTAAACAGCCCAATCTAGAGTTGAATATTCCATCTGGATATAGAAAAACATAACCAAAATTTCCTTTACGTTAGCCATCAATTAGAAGTAATTGATTACTTACGAAAACAGATCAAACCACTGCTGTTTTGTAACAGATTCCTGACGTAAAAGCTTCAAAACAATTGGACGCATGAAATCCCATTTGTCTTCAAACTGAAGGGAACCTTTATTCTTAGAAAAAAAGAAAAAAAGAGCACTTTAATTTAATGCAATTAAAAGTATTCTATAATTTTATCTATAATTTTAAGAGATAGCTAGACAAATGCACAGCTCAAATTTAAAAGAACTAGTTTTCCATAGTGGAATCATTATAGGCTGAATCGGGTATCAAGAAGTCACAGGAGGGACCAGCAGTTAGCGTAATGGCTATGTTGCTGGACTCCCACGTAGTTGACCGCGGTTCAAGTCCTGGACCTGGCGGCTTAAACTCACGCCGGGTACATGTGCGTGCGTGCCCAAGATCCTGAGAGGAGAAGGGATTGCAGCATGGCCATCCCCCCTGGGGGGTGATTTCTCAGTTTCTGTCTCTCTGTCT